AACAGAGCATTGTTTAAAATTTGTTGGAATGTTAACTCTCTGTGAGACCCAGAATAGGCATCAGAAAAGGGAAGTGCAGGGGAAATCATGCTTGAATACCTCGGACTATGAATTATGAAATTTCTGAACCTTTTCCTGGAGGAGAGGACTCAGAGCAGCTGATGTCTCCAAGTCTGAGACTATGGCAGCACCTTCCATAGTCCAAGCCTGGGTATACAGATACCAGCTAAGGAAATGGCCCTTCAGCCCACAGAGAAAACTAAGAGATAGCAGCAAGTAAGCGTGTTTTTCAGGAATGACATTACTGGCCTCATGGGAAGAACTAAGTCCAATTTGGCAGGGGCACCTCTCTAAGAAGTCTACAAGGGTAGCTGTTATTCACAGGAAGAAATTAGTGAAATGCAGAAATGGGAGCGTCCTGCAGGGCATTCATTTACTTCCTATGGCCAGAGCCTCCAAAACTCCCATTACTTCCCATTTATTTGTCCTTATCTCATGACACTGGCTAGGGCCTCCAATACAAATACTGAATAGAAGTGATAATAGGAGCATCCTTGTCTTCTTATCATGAAAGAGAAATGTCTAATGTCTCTTCATCAAATATGATATTTACGGTTAGGTCTTAATAGATATGCCTTATCATGAAAGATCTAGGACAAAAGTAGGAAAGAAATCCAGAGTATCCTCTTTAGGCTACATAGTTTGCTCTAGAAAGCACAGGGGGAAATGTGCAGTGGCAAAAGATGCTAAGCACGCTGAACTGGACAGAGCCCTTGCTGGGCTGGGCTGAGGAAGAGCCTCTGGATGGGCTTTGGCTGCAGGATAGGATAGCTCCCCATTTTCTACTATTAATTAGGCCTATTCAGCAGACAGAGGAGGGGGCTCCTGTTCACTGAAAGAGGCGGGTCAGATCGTTTGAAGGTGTTGCTAAAGGTCTATGCCTTGGCCTTAGCAGCCAGTACAGACTGTGATTTTACAAATCAGAGAATTGTTTTCATGGAAACTTCTACAGCTCCTCAGGCTGGAAGAAAGGCTCCCCAGCGCAGAATGGAGGGGAAATTATTATTGCAAGAACAGGTGTTAGAGAAATCAAAATGCCAAACATCTTGTTCTATTGTCGAGAGGATTGCTCACACCAGAAAACAAGCCCACAATAGCTCAGGCCCTGAGCCATGCTTAGTGAGTCTTAGACAGGGAGAGGCCCAAGAGACAAGTTCATCCTGGTACCTACTGTGCTTTGTCTTATCCCCCTTGATGACAGAGACCATGCAGGAGGCAAGGACCAAGAGGCCAACAGAGAAAGCACAGGTCCTCCACACATACAGGGTGGAAGAGAGAGCTTTCCTGTCATGTCTTAACTGGGGTTTTTAGCCTGGAGACAGTTAGGGACCTAACTTTCCCGCTGCCACTTGCCAGATCAGAAAATTTTAATCAAAGTTCTTAACCTCTCAGAATCTCCTCATATACAAAATGGAAATAATAATGGCTTCTTTCAGGGTTGTTACAAAAAATAAATGAGATAAACTCTCACAAAGTCTAGTGCTGAGAAGCAAAGTTATCAACAAATTTAGTGGGCCCATATCAAAATTTTTATTTTAATTTTTTAATAAGAGAATCAGCAGGTTTTTTAAAGCTGTTTTGAAAAATATTTGAGAATATATAAAGACAGTCAGGAAAGGAATGCCTAATTAAGACTTTTAGTTAGATATAAGACTCTTTTAACTTTAAACAGGATGATAAAAACTCTAACAGTTAGGGGTTTGCCATCCCCACCAGGCTATACGATCATATCGTTCCATCAAGCAGATAAACTGACTTTATCCATTGGGATTTGTTAATCGAACATACTATGCCAAACTTTTACATTTCCCAATACTGGAAGATTAACAAGTAGCAGGACTTCTTTCTATTCCAACAGACTCTAGTTTGAGATCAAAGATTTAAGCAATCACCATTCCATATTTTTCCAGGTTTGGGGATAATATTTTCCTTTTACACTGACACCCAGCAGAAGCCCAGTAAGTGTTTGTAGCTTTCCCTACCCCATTCAGCCCATTTGAATTTAGGTTGAATTCCCCATGTCAAGAGACCAGAAGATGGGCTGGTATCTGGGCCCCAATGGAATGATTCTGGCTCCCAGGTAGAGGGATGTATGGGGAAGTCCTTTCCTTTGGAATGTGCTCATTTGTTCAGCTGACAGACACCAGTTGCCCAATTCCAGATCCTCTTCATCCTCTTTAGGACTTTTGTCATGGCTGCGAGGAAACTGGATGAAGTCAGGAACCGTGGGTGGAGAACCTGGGCGAAGAAGCAGGATTTCAGCCTGGTCGTCCTGACAGGCCCCAGAAATCTCAGTGGCCAGACCTGCCTCAGCTGGTGAGCCAAGGTCTCCTTTGTGGACCCAGCATTGCAGGTGGTTTCCTGCTGAACTTATTTCTCAACTTCCCACTGCCTTCTTCCTCTTTTGTAGGTGGGGAAACAGGAAACCAAATCACCTTGCTCTGGGCTATAAGCCTGTCTGGCTCCGCCCAGTGGCTCCTGTAATGGGCCAGTTCTGTTTGTAAACCACAATCTCCAGGCCTACCTCCTTCCTGGACCTCCCAGTGATGCCTCCTCATTTCCTCTTTCTCCAGGTAGCCAGTGCGAGCAGGGTCACCTTCCCTTCCCAACCATGAGCTTGGGTATCAACCATTGACAGCTCGAAGTCAACACAACTCTTGACAACCAGTGCCCATCATTTACAGGGAAACTCTGGCGGGCCCTTTGTGCCGCCTACCCCACGGTCTACCCTCAGAGTCAGCAGACTCGTTGGCAGACAGAATTGATCATGATAAATCTCCCCTGAAGAATCCATTAGCAGCAAGGCCAACAGAGGATTTTCAAGGAGAACCAAAGGCACTGGCATATGTTGCTCCCAGGCCCACTCAGCCTTACACACAGACACACACCCCTCTGGCCGTCACCACCACCAACGTGGATAACAGAGAGGCTGCTTCCTCCTTAGTGTACTCTCCCGTTACATTTCCTAAAGGCTGAGTGAGGCCTGGGATGCCACCAGATGAACCCTGTAAACGCTTCTCATCTTTTTTTGACGGGGCCACATTTGGGCCATCTCGCCTTTAAGATGCCTCTCAGACCTGCATGATCTCCCTTTCCGCACAGCAGAGGGTGCGTCCCTGCTCCTGATTTAGACGGAAGCTCTTGCTTTGGGAGACAGATAAAACAATCCTTCAGAAAAACTAAGAAGGAAGCAATTTTGTCCCTGTATCTTCCTTCTTGTCCAGCAGAAGCCCAGCTTCATGTCTGGTGACTACATCCCTTCATCTCATTTCAGGTCCCAAGCTTAATTCTCACTGGCTGCCAACCGGTTTCACTAACATGTTAGCCAAAAATAAAGCTGGCTGGTAATTAAAGCCTTGGTTGGTGAATAAGGGTGTAAGCTGTTACCTCTGCCTGCTCATTTACATTGTCATAAGATTAAAGTCTACAAGTACAATAAAATGCCCAGTGCCCTGGAGTGAATAATCTTCAGCATTAAAAGCCAGTTAATCTGAGTGACATTTTGTTGGGTCAGGGAGCAGCTTGTTCCTCCTGAAATCCTGGGGAGTCGGCCACCTCCTCTTCTCTCTGCTTGGGCAGGAAGCACTTCTGGCTTCTCCAAAGTACCTCACCCCATCCCACCCCCACAGAGAGGGTTCCTCCTCAGCTCAGGCTCTTGGGGTCGGAGGCACACAGCCATCCCAGAGGGCTTGAGGGGTCCCTGGGGTGCTTATGGAGAGGCTCAGTGCCTCCTGCACACAGACAGACCCCCCAGCCAGCCTTTGTCTCCCACGCGCAGGGTACCCCCAGCTTCACAGTGCGGGAGAGGGGGAAAGAGGCGTGGGCAGCAGGAGAGAGGCTGGCCCTTCTCAACGTGCCTCTGCAAAGTCCAACCACCCACAAAACAATAGTGGAATCGCTGTACCTTTCATCACTAAAATCCAGCAGCAGCACAAGTGTTCTTAACCTTTTAGGGTCTTTGGACCCCCTCAGAGTCTGATGAAAGCCCCGGAGGAATGTACTTGTGCTCCCCGCTCCCTCTCACTGATGCATTCACTTCAGTTCCATTGAGAGAGGTATAAGAGACCCAAGGTAAAAACCCTGGTTTAGAGATTCTAATGACAGCCCCCTACACTCTTCTCCATCACCAACACTACTGCCTCATCACACAAGTAGGGACAGCAGAAAATTTCCCAAAGCACAGCAAGAAACTCATCCTGGTGTCTGGGCCCCGACCTTCCCATTTACCAGGCCCTTAGATAGTTCATTGACTGCCAGAGCATCCGCCCCACGGGGCAGCATTTGAGTAACCTGTTCTTTGAGCTGAGTTGTATTAATATATTTGCCTGTCTGCCCATTTCTTTATTATTTAATTGACTAGGAAGTTTGGAAGTCAAGAGAGAAGGAAAGCTTCCAAAATCTGGAATGGGGACTATTAGTGTTACTTACTAAACATCCACCTATAGTCACACCGCACTCAGGATCAGTCTGTCTGTCTGTCTGTCTTTCTGCCACACACACACACATACATACACACACACACACACACACACACACACACATACACATGGATGCAGTTATCTCCCTAAGGGTTCCCAAGAGTCTCATGTAAGATATTTAGCTGGAAATTAAAATTCAGTTTAGAGAACAGTAGTTTGTCTTATATCACCCTGTTTCCATTACACCAGTTTGGAAGATCATCAGCTACAGTGTCATGGCCTTTTTAGAATCCTTTAAGTCCTAGAAGCCGTGACTTGGGGCTGGGGCTAGAACAGACTCAAATAGTTGAGGGGGAATGCAGAGAGGAAACCAGACAAGTTGGAAGCACTGAAGCTTCATGAGACATAGGGAGTGGGGAACAGCAGAGGTTTGGCATTTTCCCATGGGTTTTCCTACCCTCCCTACACCCCCAGGAACCTCATTCCACAACAGAAAAACAAGAGACCAAGAGGGGCTTGAGGTATCAATCACTTTATTATTCTTCAGGGACAAGTCCAGGGGCCAAGCCCCAGGGCCCAACAGCCATGCCACTACTTGTGGCTCTCTTCATGGGCCGCCACGCCCACCTTTATAAGCAGTACAAGGAATTCCTCGAAGTTGACTGCATTATCGGTATTGATATCCAACTCTTTGAACCAGGTATCTGCATTCTTTTTCTGTCAAGATTGAGGAGAAAGAAGCAGAGTGTAAAGATCTCAGTGAAACCTAAAGAAAGGACATTTACCTGGGGCAGCAAAGGGACCAGTGACCCTCGGATACCATCAGAGCCAGGCAGAGAACCAGACCACACCCAGCCCATCCGCACCTTCAAATACTGAGGACACTCGGTCTCCATCAATTTCTTCAAGTCATCCCTGTAGAGGGCGTGGGCGTTCCCTTTCGCCAGGGAGTACTTGTGGTAGACGGCAACGAAGTTGTTCAGGGCGCTCTCCAGTTCCGTCAGCATGGTGCCTGAGGATATGCTTCACCTGGAAGGGAGAGCACATGGGTGGGGATGGTGCCTCTGCCCACGGCTGAGTGTAGACTAAGGGGACATTCAGAAGGTTCATAACCCATGTAATGGCTCTGTCCTGGCTTGCCCCATCCAATAACTAAACCCAGAGGATGGTTAGAGCTATGATGGGAAAGGGTGGGATGATATGGATAGGAATGTGGGAGACAATAGGTACACACACGCATGTACACATATGCACGTACAGTGCCTGCCAACTTTCTCCATGCCTTCACCCTCTGCCCAAGAAGGACCCAACTTAGGGGATGAATGTGCCCTCTCCCAAAAGTGCTAGAGGATCGACCAGCTCCTCCTTTGTCCCTGTCTCACTCTCCCCCACCCCCCCGCCCCTCCAGAGGTTCGACCTTGGTCCAAGCCTCCCTGAGCTTTCTCTCCCCTCTCCCAGAGAAGGCTTCTGAGCGCCCAGCCCTCCCCTGGGGAAGCCCAAAGTGTGGGGCCCACCAGGGCAGTCCCACTTACCAGGTCTTCCTGAAACCGTGTTGACAGAGTTGACAGAGTTGACAGAATATGCAGACTGAGCACCAGCAGCTCCCTTTTATAGCGACTGGGCTTGGCCAGCCACCAAGGCCTTGGCAGCAGATCCCTCCCAGGGTTGCTACAGCCTCAGGTTTCCTAACCAGGTGAATGGGGCAATCACAGCAGAATGAACATTTCCAAGGCGGGGCGGCGGGGCAGGGGGGCGGGGCGGGGTGGAGGAAGCGGAAGGCTTTTTCCTGGCAATAGCGCCCAACAGGGGAAACCAGGAAGTAGCCACAGAGGCCATGGTAAGGGCTCCTTCTCAGGGCTGCTGGTGACCATGACACTCCCTTCTGAGTCCCCACAGTTACAGTTGCTAATCCCATACATGGTGGCCTTTCTGTGCATCTCTCAATGGAACTGAAGTGAATGCATCAGTGAGAGGGAGCGGGGAGCACAAGTACATTCCTCCGGGGCTTTCATCAGACTCTGAGGGGGTCCAAAGACCCTAAAAGGTTAAGAACACTTGTGCTGCTGCTGGATTTTAGTGATGAAAGGTACAGCGATTCCACTATTGTTTTGTGGGTGGTTGGACTTTGCAGAGGCACGTTGCGAAGGGCCAGCCTCTCTCCTGCTGCCCACGCCTCTTTCCCCCTCTCCCGCACTGTGAAGCTGGGGGTGCCCTGCGCGTGGGAGACAAAGGCTGGCTGGGGGGTCTGTCTGTGTGCAGGAGGCACTGAGCCTCTCCATAAGCACCCCAGGGACCCCTCAAGCCCTCTGGGATGGCTGTGTGCCTCCGACCCCAAGAGCCTGAGCTGAGGAGGAACCCTCTCTGTGGGGGTGGGATGGGGTGAGGTACTTTGGAGAAGCCAGAAGTGCTTCCTGCCCAAGCAGAGAGAAGAGGAGGTGGCCGACTCCCCAGGATTTCAGGAGGAACAAGCTGCTCCCTGACCCAACAAAATGTCACTCAGATTAACTGGCTTTTAATGCTGAAGATTTGTCGTGCATTTTTGCATTTCTCTTGCTACAAAACACTTCACACCCATATAATCTAAGTAGAGCTTCAGAACATACCTGTCAGGAGAGTGAGGTATAGAACCTACCCAGCACAGACAAGGAAGCTGAGAGCAGAAAGGTGAAGTGGTTCACTCAGAGTTTCCCAGTACAGGTGGATGTGTCAGCAGCCAGACCAGATCCTGGGGATTTGGGCACGAGAGCCTAATCTGACAAAAACATGTCTCTGCTGGGAAATCCCCTCTCCTCTCTCCTTCCTTCCTGCATTCAACGTGCATTTACTCTGTGCTTCTCCAGAACCTAGGCTGCCATCGCCTCCTAGGGGAAGTAGATGGAATTAGCCTTTCTTCCTGTTTCCACAACCATTTGGGCTTCATTGTCAGTAACTTTATAGCTGTGTAACCTTGGGCCAATTACTTACCCTCTCTGTGCCTTGGTTGACTCAGTCATTAAGTGGAGATTAAAAATAGAATTTACCTTCTAGTAGACCATAATAGGAGAAAATATTTACAAATCATGTATCTAAGAGGAGTTAATATCCAGAATATCTAAAGGACACCTACCACTTAACAACAACAACAACAAAATAACCCAATTGAAAAATGGGTGAAGGACCTGAATAGATACTTCTCCAAAGAAGATACACAAATGGTCAATAAGCACATAAAAATATACTCCATATCACTAATCATCAAGGAAATGCAAATCAAAATCACAATGAGATAGCACCTCAAACTCACTAGAATGGTTACTATCAACATAAACTGAAAATGTCAAGTATTGGGGAGAATGTGAAGAAATTGGAACCCTTGTGCAGTATTAGTGGGAATGTAAAATGATGTAGTCACTATGGTGGGTCCCCAAAAAATTAAAAACAGAATCATCATATGATCCAGAAATTCCACTCCTGGGTATATATCCAAAATAACTGAAAGTAGGGTTTCAAAAGATATTTGTACACCCATGTTTATAGTAGCATTACCCACAACAGCCAAAATGTGGAAGCAACTCTCAAGTGTCCATCCACAGATGGGTAGATCAATAAAATGTGATCTATATAAAATATTATTCAGCCTTTTAAAAGGAAGGGAATTCTGCCCTGGCCAGGTGGCTCAGTTGGTTGGAGTGTCATCCCCCACACCAAAAGGTTGCGGGGTCCATCCCCAGTCAGGGCACATGCGGGAGGAAACTGATAGCTGTTTCTCTCCTCTCTCTCTCTCTCTCTCCCCCCCCCAGACCCTCTCTCTCTTTCTCTCAAAAATCAATCCTCAGGTGAGGAATTTTTTTTTTAAAAAAAAGAAGGGAATTCTGACCATGCTACAACATGGAGGATTTTTGAAGACATGCTAAGTGAAATAAGTGAAAAAATATGATTCCACTTATATGACCTCCTCAGTGTAGTCAAATGCATAGAGACGGAGAACAGAACGGTGGTTGCCAGGGCTGGGGGCGCAGGGGGAGATGGGGAGTTGGTGTTTGTTGAGTATGGAGTTTTAGTTGCAATATGATAACAATTCTGGAAATTGAATTTGAATGTGCTTACAACTGAACTATACACTTAAAAGTGGTCAAGATGCTAAACTTTATGTTCTGTGTATTTTGCCACAATTAAAAATAAGTAGCCACCCTGGCTGGTGTGGCTCAGTGGATTGAGCACCGGCCAGTGAACCAAAGGGCCGCTATTTCAATTCCCAGTCAGGGCACAAGCCTGGGTTGTGGGCCAGGTCCCCAGTAGAGGGGCATGTGAGAGGCAACCATGCATTGATGTTTCCCTCTCTCCCTCCCTTCCCCTCTCTCTAAAAATAAATAAATAAAATCTTTTTTAAAAATTAAGTAGCTTATTGTATGTCAATTATATCTCAATAAAGCTGTTTTAAAAATAAAAAATAAAATTTGTAATGCTTGCACCTAAAAATAAACATTGTGGTTGTAAAGATTAATTATAGATGCAAAATATTTACGATTTATATACTTTTAATATGTATAACATTTTAATACAAAGTTTATGCAAAACACTGTGTAAAGTGCTTAGAGTAGGGCACAGCAAGCAAACACCGTGTGAGGGGACACCACCATTACTGCCACGTGAATGTCCCAGACACCCCAGCCGGGCCGTGAACCCTCAGGGACCAGACTGGACCACCCACCTCTGCCTCCCCAAGACCCAGCCTGGTGCCTGGCACACACAACAACAGCAACGATGATCAATAATAAGAACAAATAACAGCAAAATCATAGCTAACATGTATTGGGCTTTTACAATGCCACTTACTGTTGAAAGTGCTTTACAACATCGATCCGCTTAATTCTCACAGTAATCCTATGAGGTCTGTACTCTCATAATTCCCATTTTACAGATGAGGAGACCGAGACCCACTGAGAGACGCAACATTCAGGGCATCAAATGATTTAGGTGACTCATGCCGTGCTGTACCATCATCCACTCCCGGTCCTTGTTTGGAATACCTCTTTGCCTGTAAAGTGCACCTCATCCTCCCTGACCCAGCCCAGACGCCATCTGCTGGCCACCCCATCCATCCCTGAAGCTCCTCCACCCTTACAGACACCAAGTCAATTCATCCCTCCCTCGTGCGACCCAAATCCCTATGCATCACAGCATTTGCCCTGCTATATTATGATTCATCTGTTTATTGTCTGTCTTTTCTTTGAGATCAGAGGCCCCTTTAGGACAAGAAACCACATCACAACCTCAGGGCCTGGTACATACTAGGTGTTCAATTAATACCTTCTGGGGGTATAAATGAATGAGAAATTGAACACTTGATCTATCCTTTACCCTGTGCAGAAATTCCCTTTATTACACTCCAGTCACCTTAAGTCATTTTTGGAACAAGGCAAGATGTAAATCCACCAACCAAATGAACCTCCTTGGCAAGAGGTTCATCAACCTCTTCATAGGAAAATATGACTGTTCCTGGAATATATGCCACATTTTAAAGCGAGGATCCACCACTAGCGCCGGGTCCCCTCCACTATGACCTGACATAATAGCACCTTACCCAAGTAGCACATTATATTTTCAAAGTGTTTTTACACCCACTAACTCATTTGATAACTCCATAAAATGGGTATTACAGGCACAATGATCCCTATGTGACAGATGAGGAAACTGAGGCACAGGGAGTTACTCAAGCTTCTTCCTATGGGCATGTGTTCTGCTCTGTCTTGGTGTTTAGATGCCAAAACAGCAGACTGAACAAGCCAGCTGGCTTTTCTGAGCCTCTCCTTAGGATTTGCTCGCCAGCCCCAGGACAGTGCTTGTGCTGACCTCTCTCAGCCTGGTGATGAGGAGGCTGGTGGAGACGATCCTTCCCAGACCCTGACCTTTGGGAGGTGCCTTTCTTGAAGCCATCCCTCTGAGAATGGTCCCTGTGGAGTCAGTTTTCTTCATCCAGAGATTAAGAAAAATATTCTCCAGACCGATGAGGGAGGCTCAAGGCAGACAGGAGCCCTGGCCTCCTTCCAGGGTCCTGTGCTCATCAGGGGCACGTGCTGACCAGTGAGGCCGTGAACCGTCACCCCCAGGGATGTCCCTCCAGACAGATAGCCTTGGGAGGTGCAGGGAGGGGGGAGCCAGGCCGAGCTGCCCAGGTGGGAGGGGGTGTTGGGAATTGGGTAAGCATGTCGGGGGGAAGGCAGCACCTGTAATCAGACTGTGGGATGTGAGGCAACCTGGGGGAGCGGAACCTGGGCCTGTTGACAGCAAAGAGCTCAGTCCTGTCTGTGTCCCAATAGACCCGAGGGGGTTTGGCATAGGCTGATGAAATCAGGACAGTGCGGGCAGGGCCGTGAAGAAATCCCCCCAGGAAGGGGCAGGAGGAAGGAGAGGAGAACTGGGCTGAGCTGCCCCCTTAGTACTCAAAGGCCCATGAAACCCAACTCAGTTCCGGTGAGAAAGGCAGGAAGAATGCTCCCCCAGGCCTGGGGAAAGATGTCCTGGGTCTCTGGACACAAGGAAGAGACCCACAGCGATTCCAGTCAGGTTCCTGTGTTCCTTCCTCCACCATGGCTGACCACCCA